ACAGCTGTGAATAGGCACATGCACCAGCTAGGATGGTCACCCTACGCGTGCTCTAGAAAAAATATATCGAAGCACATCCAAACAAATTTTGAAAAAAAAAAAAAATCTGCCCTCCATCAGACTGATCTCCCCTAGAAGTCCCCATCTGCCCATCGCACCGCAGGAAACAAGTTCAAAATGGGCTGCACGTACCACGACTCGCTATGAGTCTTGCAGCTTCAGGGAGATACTACAGACTCCAGAGGATTTGTAATGGTGACATGTAGCTCGAAGCAAGTTTTCCACATAGAACGGACTACGAAAGCTCAGTATAATGAATGAGCCGAGTACTCTGGTGACCGATGGCCAGCTGAAAGGGACGGGGATTTAAGAGGTTAATCTAAACCGAGGAAAAGTCAATCGACAAACCAACCACACCAGCGCTCCAAGACGCCTGAAATCAGCATGCCCTGTTTCCAGAGCACCATGAGCGTGGCATCAACACTAAGCGACAGTGCTCCACTACAAGGCCCCATGGGAGGTGGGGGAAAAATTCGAAATCTCAGAAAAGTCACGACAGGCCCTACGGTTTTGCGAGGCACGAGTATCATTCAGCGCGGAATTCATCTCCCTGCTGGTTGCGGACTTCCGGTGATCTTCCGGGGGAACCCGAAACATTCTGATCAAGACTCCAGAAAACTCAAACAGTAACGGAACAGAGAAGAGCACACATATCTAGTCTAGACTCTAGAGAGACGAAACCGCGGCACCAGGAGGAAGACGCGCGGCGCGAGAGGGGTGGGAGAGCTTACTGAGGAGGAGATGGATCCAGGTGGTCTTCTTCTTCTTCTTCCCCCGCCCGGCCGCCCGGAGACGAAGCGCAGGCCAGAGCGATTAGGCCTGAAATGACACCTGCCCGGTGGTGCTGCTGGAGAGTGGAGGGCTCTTTAAACCGCGGGGACGACGGGCCCGGGGCGCCGAAATGACGGTGCTGCCCTCGGTCAGTGGCTGGTGGGATGGTGATGAGCTGGACGCGTTTAGGCAATTAGGCCCCGGTCCTCGTGGCAGTGGCAGGTAAATAATACTCTACCAGGGTGGTTACAGGTTACGCTGATATTGATTAATGATTAATCCGTGTCCAAGACACCTGGGTTGGGAGGCGGGACCCACGCGGCGCGGCCGCGGGGTTTGAATTTTGGCCGCAATGATATTTGTATGTATGCTTCGCTAGCATTTGTTTTGAGGGGAAAAAAACAACGGTAAAATGATGTTTCATAAAAGCTGTTTAGCTAGTACTTTTGAATTTGAAGGAAAGGGGAGTTCAAATGATTCCTATGGGAAAAAAAGAGAAATCTAACTACACTTAGTCGAAACTTGGTGCTCACGGTTTTTATTCATGGGGCGTGTTTGGTTCCCAGAGTTCGCCAAATCTCACCATACCTCCGACACCCCACTTTTGACTGATGTTTGATTGGTTCCTAGACCTCTAGTGCCGTCACAGTTTCCCAACAGCACGTAAGTAGTTTGCGACGCCTCAGCTCGCTAAATCTTCTTGGTGATTTCAACAGCACACTTTAGGCGAGCCTTAAAGTTGTGGCGTCTTATTGACAACAGTCAAACAGCCCATGCTCTTCTCGCATATATATGACACCTCTCGCTTTTCTCGCTTTGAGCATGCTCTAGTAGTTTAGGCGTGACGATAGGTTTTAGCGGTGGTGTAGAGTATAGGTTTTAGTTTGAGAAAGAGCGAGAGCAATGTGGAGGAGCAAAGTATGGCGGATCCAAGCGATGTGGCGGGGGCTCAAGCCCCTACCAATCCCAAAACAAAGGCAAATTCTTTGTAGACCTCTACCGTTATGTTTGAGAAAGAGACTTAAGATCGAGCAGCGTGTTGGATCCTTGACAGGACAAGTGAGAATTAAGATATAATATACATGGTTTAACAGAACGATGGAGTATAGTTTATAGCATCTTTATCAAATGAAAAAACAATGCTATAGTAGGCATTGGACAAACTCAAAGTATGGCAATAGCCCCACCTTACCATACCGAGAGCTCCACCACTCAGAAAGAGAGAAAATACGAGTAAAGTGGAGACGAGGCACACTGAGCATAGAAGTTGTGATTCTGATATGAGGTTGAAGAAACACATCAAATATTAGCTTGATATGAGCACCCAACAATGTTTTGAGTTTATATTAAAAAACACAATGTTTTTTGTACACCCAAGCTTGATATGAGCTAAACTTTGTTAGCTCATATCAAGCTTTGAGTACACATACTTTGTAGCTTTGAGTACACATACTTTGTAGTTTCATATTAAAATGAAGCAAAATACTCCTAACAAATTCTGAACGGAGAGAATAGAAGTAATTGGATGATATGCAGCTCGTTTTGAGTGTGTGTGTGTGTGTGTTTTTAGATATATGTTTACCGCGACTATGATGTTGGTGACCTGCTGTCCACGTACGTGTGATTATATTATATTGAGTCATTGACCATGCACGCGTAACCAAACAACTCATCTCAATCTGGTGTTTGGAGATCCAAATGTGAATGCATTTATGCATGGTTGGACCTAGGGGTGTTTTTTCAAAGCTTGCAAAATTAATACTCCAATATTGTGCAACCTCACTTTTATACGACGTTCTCCGATATTGTTTTATTTATCTTTTCTTTTTTGTTGCGACTTGCGGAGGACTTGTAAAGCCAACTAATTTGTTTGATCTCATGTTGTTTTGTGTCATAACACGGCGGAAGAGAATATGAAATGTTACTTATTCGTTGGATGCCACGCACTTAGCTTGTAATTTTAGGGAACAATACTTGGCTCGAAGTCATTTCTATTTGCTTGCCAATTTGAACACAAACATATGTAGCGTCGCGGAGGGCGTTTATTACTGATATCTTGGATAACGACGTGCACGCAGTCTTCGTACGAAGTGTTGGCATAAAGCGCGCTATTACGGTTAACTTTTTTTTACTCCATGAAACCAACTGACGTCATCAATTTAGTGAGCAAGGGAAAACGGAACTGAAGAAGATACCAGCGTTTGTATGTCTCTCGACTTCTCGAGGTCGACTGGTCGAGGTACGTCACTGTCCTACAGTGATACTAGTGTTGGTAAAGTAACAGCGTCGGTAAGTGAGGGAGCACACGAAGCACGTTGTGATGGGCGACAGGTTGGCCCCGTATATATATTATATACCCGTATAGATACACCACAAAACGTATAGCACAACAGCCAAAGAAAAGATTTATTACTGACGCGCGACAACGTTAACGATTACGTACGTACTCGGGCCACTGGGCTATACTCCCACTGTGGATACATACCACGGCTACTCTCGGCTAGGGAACACCAGGGGTAGTTTCGGAAACGCTCGGAGTTCTGGTGGGGCCGAGGAGTGGGGCCTCCGGGCGTCGTACTACTGGCGCGTGCGCGGGAGAGGTAGCGGGTGGGGCCCGCATGCAGCGTCGCATGCGGCGGGTATATATATAAAATAAACGGCCTGCGGGATATTTCGAGATCCACCATGGCGGGAGACGATGAGCAAGCAGCGGGCAGGTGTCATTTCTGATAAAATATTACATCTACACGGTCCGTGGCCCTTCAATTTGATATAGCCTCGTCACTGGCTGCTGCGATGCGAACGAGGACGATGCACTGCCCGTGCCCGGGCTTGGAAATCCCAAGGCAACAGAGAAGCGTCAAGCGTCGACCGTGCGTTAGGTTCGGATGCGGTTTCTTTCGTCCGGTACCGGCTCGGCGGCTCCCGTGCTTCCGTAGGGCTAGGAGGGCAGGGTATAGCCGCTGCAAGTCGGCAGTTCATTTTCATTCGTTCGTGGATAAAGCGAGCCTGCGCCCTCCCAGTTGGAAATTGTCACAAGCGTCGAAAGGAAGACATGGCCGCACAGGAAAAAAAATTCGGTGGATACTGTATCCATCTAGACTCCACGTATACCGCGGCTCGATGGTTGACACCTGTGCATCCAGACTCCGTGTATCCATCTGCTCCGCTCGGCTCGTGGTTGGAGAATTGAGGTCGCGGTCAAACACAATCCATTGTTCACATCCCACACGCACCAGCCAGATCGTCCGTCGTTGCCGTACAAACGAGTACCAAAGCTGTGTCCTCCATCGAGCGGCGGTATACATGGGTATCCACCGATTTTTTTTTTCCATGCTACTGCTCCTACTCCTGCACGCGCGGCGCGGTGCAGATTGGCGCACGTGTTTAACCTCAGGTCTAGTGACGCATACGTAATGGGTTTGGGTAGTTAGAGCAGCTGGCAAAAAAAAAGCAGTGCCGGGTTCCGAGTTCCGACGGTACGTCATTTTTTTCGTCTCCTCCACCAAATGTCCAAAACTAACACGCGGCACATGACGCCCCACGCTCCACGTCCCCACATATATGGGAAATGGGATACGACTCGTGTCAAACGTGACTGGAAGAAGCAAACTGGAAATTCGTAATTTGCACGCGACTGGCTGGAAGGCCTTGGGCCTATGTTACTGTACGTGGCAGCCTCTTTCTAGGCCCGTTATCTCTACACTACACCTTTTCTCAAAAAAAAAAAAAAACACCTGCCCACTAAACTCCTTGCTTGCTTCGCGCCGTCTGCTGCTCCACCCTTCACCATCCCGCTCATCCGGGATGTACCGCCGTCTCCCAAGTCCCAAGAGGCCAAGACACGCCACGCTCATACCGTCATGCGGGCTTCCGCGGCGCGTGACGTAACATTTCTCTCATGACATCAACACCGGAAATGGCACTCCTTGACGATGAACTTAAACTCATGGACTTGCCAGTTGCTACCACAGAAACTAAGATACCATTACCGCCTACCGGAGAACTGTACAATCAGCCGTCAGCACATGGCAGAAGAGACATCACACAGAACCGCCGCCGACAGACGCATGCGCGCGGTGACAAGAAACACACAGGAACAAGGATATAGCGATATACAGGGGGCAGGTCAACGAGGCGAGTCTTTGTCTACACAGCTACACTACACTCTACACTGTCTTGCTGCCGGCCGCGTCAGCCTGTGACGATGCACCGGCGACGGCGACGACCTTCTTCTCCAGCTCAGGCTTGTTGGCGCCGACCAGCTTGTCCACCTGCTGCCCGTTCTTGAGGAAGAAAAACGTCGGGGTCGCACGGATGTCCCACGACGAGCTGAACTCCTGTGGCACGAAATTGAGGAGAGGATCAGTTGATTTATGTAAAACACAGATTCTGATGATAAGCAAAACATTCCTTTTTATGGGTCATGTAGTTGTGTGTAGTAGAGTCTCTCAAGTATGGACACCCTTGCAGTTGCACAACACTCCCAGATTCAGATGTACGTACCAAGAGAAGCACTCGGCAAAAACTATGCGCACAATGGAACTATGGAAGGTCATCTCTCAGTGGTTCGTTATACTCCTATATTAAAACCAACTATGGGCAGACAACTCTGTTCTTTTCATTTTGGAACGACTATTAACTGCTAGACATTCTAGACATAAAACCATCGGTCCCGTGGTAAGAGTACATGTTTTTTGTATCCATGGTAATAAGATATCCAGAGAGTTGAGACCACTTGCGTAAGGATAAAGGTCTGAGAGAACATCGATTACCATTAACTCGTCAACATCAATCGTCAAGAACATGAGCTGAGGGTATGTCTGTGACATTTCAGCATAAACAGGTGAAATGGCACGGCATGGGCCGCACCAGGAAGCACTGAAGTTTGCAACCACCTACAAAAAAACGTCCATTAATGATTATTAGCTGTGCAACTCATATCAGAAAATTAAAGTGCAGCAATTGTTCCTACATCACATATTATGTGGGCCAACACCATTTGTCAGTTTAGCCAAATTCTGAACAGTCAGGAGACTCAAAGACAAAAACAAGACTCACGATTGATTTTATTATTGTCCCCGTTCGCTTGTCTTAAAAATGGCTTGTTCTGAACAGTCAGTATTGCACAAAATGGCAAACTAATACAGACAGACTGAATATGCTACTTCTTTTGTTTAAAAATTTTATCTAGTTTTTTCTAGCAATAAATAAAGAAAAAACAAAGGTCGTGAAAAGTAAGCTGGATAGTGTTAGACTGTTAGTATAGCACAGAGCAAATGTACACGCTAGCCTTAAGTGTCATGCTATACTGAACAAACGGTTCTCAGTTGCTAAAATTGCCAGGAGCAGGTTCTACTCACAATTTTCCCATCCTTGTTGGCCTCTGCAATTTTTTGGTCCCAATCCTCTTTGCTTGTAACAACATGAACGTTGCCACCTCCAAAATCAATCTTGTCCTCGTCATCAGCCTGCTGCTGTCCGGGCAGAGAAACATGAGAAGCAAGCAGCAGAAACCGCTTGGCAATTTAAAACAGACAGAATAACGTGTAGTACTATCACGAACAAATGGCATAGTACTCCTTGATTAGGTAGGGTTGAGTGTGTGTTTTTAGCAAGGAAGCTGACCTTTGCAATGCAGCAGCAGCAGCATCTCATCAGGCGCTTCAGTCCCATCCTCAACTGTCGGCACCTGGCAAAACTGCAAACTCCATCAGACTCTTTCAAACACCGAGTCTGTGACAGAAAAAACAACGAAATGGACACAAATCACACAATATATGTGGGCGCTGGTCACCAGCAGCAAAAGGCTGCTCAGGATACGGACGCAGAGAAGCCTCGGGGGCCTACTACAGCACGCGGAAGCCACGGTTCAGGCGTCCAGCACCTGACCTCGCATCATCTGCTGGTGATGAGAGGGGTCGTAATCGTAGAACTAACGTTCTGACCAACTATTTGACACACCAACCACAGAAAGATCCTTCGGTCCTAGTTGGTGCGGTGGTAGAACCCGAATAGCTCCGACGTCAGAGGCAAACAGCGCTCAAATTGAGTCGGGTGCTGCAGTGCAAGGAATTGTAGTCGCCTCCAACATCACAAGAACCGGGCTCATCCCATATTCCCATGGCAACAGCCTCAGTATTTCCGCCTTTTTTTTCTATTCTATTCTACCCTAAACCGGACCACCAGAACAACACTACAGTCCGACAGACGCGGCATCTAGTTCAGCCTGCCTACTCTCGAGGATCCAGAACTCTAACGAACTGGGAGTCTGGAACCACTAATCCACGGGATCGATCGCGGAGCAGTAGCGGAAAGCATGGGCGAATCCATGAGGTTTTTGCGCGAAGAAAAAGGGTTTTTGCGCGAAGAAAAAGGAAACGGGGCAGCGGATCGGCGGATCTGATCAGACTGGAGTCCGGAGAGGATTGAAGTCCTTACCCGGACGGCTGGAATCGGAGGGGCGGATGGACTTGGAGCCAAAGGGAAGGAGAGGGTGGAGAGAGGAGGGGAGACAGGGAGCCGCGCGCCGCCGGGGTTGTGGGGGAAAAGGGGAGCTGGCGACGAGGAATCCGCGGGGTCTAGACGTCTAGACCAGTAACGGTGGATGGATGGATGATGCCAGTGCCAGCCAGCCAGTACAGGGCTAGGCTCTGTTCTGCTGGTATTGTTACTGGCTGCGCCAATAGGGGGCAATCAGCCAGCTTCAGCAGCCGGCTCAGACTGAGCATTGAATGACATTTAAATTTGAAAATGTTGTAAGGCCCAGTTTAGTTCCCTCCTATTTTACAAAAATTTTCAAGATTTCTCGTCACATCGAATCTTTAGACGCATGCATGAAGCATTAAATATAAATAAAAAATAAAATTAATTACACAGTTTAGACGAAATCCACGAGACGAATCTTTTAAACCTAATTAGACTATGATTGGACACTAATTGCCAAATAACAACGAAAATGCTACAGTCATATTTTGCCAAAAATTTCGGCATCTAAACAGCCCCTAACTAAAACAATTCAAATTCAGGCGCCAAAACAACAAGGCATGACATTGCCACTTCAATCCACCAGTGGCCATACAAATAACAGTTCATTACCGCCACAGTACATGCCACAGCTGTCTCTTCAAGCAATTACCGGTCATTACAATAGTGCATTGGCATTCCTAAGAACCAATAACAACACTACAGCACAACAGTTCATTGGCGCCAATACACCAGCATCCATTCAAAAGTGGCGCCAATCAGACATATGCTTATCCCAACATTACAAGGCTTCCATTTCATACAAAAACAACAGTTGTTCTAAGAATCCGTTACAACAATTCTTACTAACAGGTCATTCTAGCTCTAAGAACCCATTACAATAGTGCATTACAACCACCTCGTGCTTACAAGGCATCTTAAATTGCAGTTGTTTCGTCCATAACACTAGTACTTGGGGATTAGTGGAGCCTTTACAAAAGTAGTAGCAGTTCCACCATACATGTGAAAACAGCTACAACTCTTACCTCCTTGACAGAGAATTAGTGGTGGGCACATTTACAAAACTTGCATCCCCTAGAAGCCACTTAATTAACTGGTAGAAGAAGTGTCACAAAATCAGACTTCTCCTACGCATTTGCCCATTAAAGCAGGTCACAAACAATTGTTTGCAAATCACAACAGTCATCTACATCTAATTGGGTGCTTATGTGGAACAACAATACACAAGTTGTACCCCTTTAAGGTACTTCACACATTGAGAAGATGAAGCCCAAATGGTGAAAATGCACATACCAACTTGAACCCTCTCCTTCATGCCATCGGCTACTCCCCTTAGACCCAATCTCCTCCAGTACCAAATGACCTAAGTGGCATCCGTACAAAATTTGTACCCTTTTCTAGGCACATAAGAATGAGCATGAAGACAGTTCCCATGCAAAAGTCACTTACCCAACCATCAATGGGTACATCACCTCTCCACAATCATTGTCCCCACAGTCCCAAAGATAGGAACTCTCTAACCACAGACATACTGTTACTAGCATTGAGCTGAACCCAGGGAGACGGTGGGTAGGTTGTAGATCCTAATCCATACTCCATAATGAACAAGTAAATGTGGAGTGCAAAGCAAGAAATTATAATCATCTTTTGCTTGTCCTATGACAGTACGGTACCCCATCAAGAATCTGCCACCAGTTTTTTAGAACCCCAAATGTCCGTTCTACAACATTGCGTAGCCTAGAATGAGTCAAGTTAAATTTCTCCTGTCGAGACATAGTCTCTATAGGTACACCCCTAAAATCATCCAGATGGTACCTTGTATTTCTGAAAGGACCCATGTATCCTGACTCTAGTGCGTATAATTTTTAGCTGCTTTGCCCAAACACGCTATAAGCATGACGGAACACAAAAAGGCACTGTCGTGTTGCTCACCATCGTGTTGCTCTAAGCCAGAAATTAGATTAAACTAAGCTAAAAAAAGAAATGAGATTAAACTAGATAAACAAAATCACACCCTTTCGTTTGTTTCGTGCAAGCCAAACATGTGTTTTTTCCGAATCAAAACTCATGCTCAGCTCACATACATACGCGCACCATCTAACTCCTCCAAGTAAACATAGGTACACCCTATGTTGCTCTAAGCAGAAACTAGATTGACAAAATCATACTCTTTCGGTTCTTTCGTGCAAGCCAAATTTTTTATAGAGTTACATCATGTTCCAATAACTTGCTTAAGAGCATCTTCAACAAGCAAATCTTAGCTAGCTATTTGCATACGTGTAGGAAAGAGAGGTGGCAGAAAACTGAACGCCAGTGAGAAGCTCGTCGCTCAGGTCGAACAGAATACTGCAATGTATTCGGTTCCAAATTAACTATTCATGATCTGGTGAATACGTGAAATCATGTAAACAGAAACAAACGTACAAGCACACATGTATTAAATACAATGGAAATAGTAGTCCAAATGTGACCATAATGTCGATACAAAATCAGATACTACTAAAGAAAAAAAGCATTTTGTTCAATGAAAAAGGTGCTCATTGGATACTGAATAACATCACCTATAGTTTTAGTTGATTAGTTCCAAGCGTCCCCGGATCCGTGGGCGGTCGCCAAATGGAAAGACCATTACAAAAGGAAAACACGTGAATAATTCGGATCCGAGAGGTGTGACGACGAGCGTCCTTGGAGCCGGAGGGGGGGGGGCGAGACCTGCGGCGGAGATCCGGAGTTGGGGGGGGAATACTGGATACGAGAGGCGATCCCGGGGGGGAGACGGCATCCTCGAGCCGGAGGGGGGGGGGAAAAGGCGGAGGTGGCGGATCGGGGGGGGGACGACGGCGCGCTCGGATCGGGGTACCTTGTTGCATGTGGGCCTAAAGTCGGCGCCCTATTGTTTATTCACTAAATGTTCTGCGAGGGATCTGAGGAGGTCACTTGTGTCGTCGCGTTAGGTCTAGGCGGCGTAGCGGGGCCCTCACGATGGAGAGGGCGGGGCTTCTTGACCATCGAGGCGTTCTTTCTGGCTCCTTTGATGGGGCATGCACGGCACCGCTTACGCGGAAGTCCTTTAGTTTCGCACCACCATGGTACCAGTTAGGCGTGTTGAAAAAGGAGGAGGGCGAAAAAATGAAAACCCTAGCCACCAGCGCTTGAAGTGTACCGGACTGAGGGAGGGGAGCATAACAAGGCTGGAGATGTTGCCTATTAGGGCAGTCGTTCGGCTGAAAGTGGGCCGCTGAATGGCTGGGCTGATCAGCCGGCTAAAAATTAGCCTAGCCAGCCGTTTTCAAGCAGCCGAATGAGCGTCTCACGAGACTTGGCGTTCCTTTTGTCGGAAAAGGAAAAAAAAGAAGAAGAAAAAAAAGACTTGGCGTTCCTTCCGTGTAGTGTAAAGCTCTGCTGACGTGGATGCATTAGCGGGCAGTAATCAAGTCATCAATGACTGATGATGACGTGCTTCAAGAATCGCGCTGTTAGAAGTCACTGCAGCCCGTTTCACTGCCTGGTACAGTAGTTGTACTACTACCATCCCTGGGCTTGGTCCTGGGCGATTTTGTTCTCCCTCTCTCTCTTTCATCAAGGTTTTCGCCCAAGTGTTCCAAGTGTTTTTTTGTTCTTCTCCTGGATCGAATCCAAAATAAAAATGTTCTGAATTATATGGATCGTGTACGTGTTTGTATAGCACGCTAACAACCTGACAAAACACATGACATTTGCCGTCACAGCATTTCCTTGTTTCGCAAGGAAGGAATGTGACCACCGACGTTTCACTCAATCTCGATAGTCAAATCCATCGCATCAACATGCCCTCAGCAAAACATTGTGCAACGACCATGATCAGAGCTTATTAAGTGATTCCGCTTAAGCAGAACAGCAACATGGCTAGAAGTTGAGCAGGTAAACTGGCTCAGGCCATCTCAATTCCATGAGCGCAGCGCAGACGTGCATCAAAAAGGTTAACAATTGATCAACCACTAGATTACATTGCTTCGCCCAAGTGATTTGTTGTGGAACAGGCGAAATTATTCCTTTCTTCTCAACAACTTGAGACTGGTGACGCCGAATCGACCACCAGGAACTCAAATGAACTCAGAAGCAATCTTCTCTTGATGTTGAAACGCTGATTGCTACACTCCGGGAGAAAGAGAAGCAGAAAACAATGCACAAGGTGGAAAATCGATACAGTTAAATCATGTCACGTAGCTTTCTCCAGCCTCTCGGCCTCCTCCCGCCGCCTCCGTTCTTCACCCTCCTGGCGCAATCTTTCCTCCTCGCACCTCAATGCTTCTGCTGCCTCTTGCTCCGCCTCCTCACGCTCCCTCCGCTCATCCTCCTCATCCTCTCTTTCATCAAGATAATCAAACTCCTTCTCTGCAGCCATAGCCTTTACGATCGGGTCTCGCAGCTCAGATATCAAGCCCCCGCCCACCTTGTACTCTTGTTCATCACCGACGAGGAACAGCCGCTGGTCAGGACCTGATGCCATTGGTATGTCAACAGCTAGTAGCTTCATGTCATACTGCAAAGGTCAGAAAACAAGGTGTTATGGTGAAAAGAGTAAAATCCATGGTAATACCATTTACTTAAGCGCAGTTTTAAGGAAGCTTCAAGTTACTCCCTCCGTTCCAAATTATAAGTCGCTTTGACTTTTTTGGTACATCCATTTTGCTATGCATCTAGATATAATAATATGTCTAGGTACATAGCAAAATGGATGAACCAAAAAAGTCAAAGCGACTTATAATTTGGAACGGAGGGAGTATATGTTTGGTTCTTCAAATAATACTATAAAGTGTGTTTTCAAGATGGCTTACTGCATCTTTTAATTTTTTTTGTTCCATAATTCTATTATTGTCAATCATTTCAACGAAAGAGCTGTCACCCAAATATAACAGTACCATTACATCTGAAGGAAAAACAATATTAATAATTCATAAAGGAACATGCAGGAGAGGATGCTTCATTTAACTCTGCTTTTGCAATGTGTGCCCAAACTATTGTTTAAAAAAAGGGGGGGCAGACCCAGTGCCGGAAGCTCCCACACAAGTGGGGTCTGGGGAAGGGATAAACTGAGACAAGCCTTTCCCCCGCAAAATCTGCGGAGAGGCTGCTTTGAACCCACGACCTGGTGACTCAGTGAGACAGCTCTCACCACTGCACCAGGCCTGCCCTTCGCCCAAACTATTGTTTATTCACTAAATGTTTGTGACCTTAATCATAATGTGATTATACAAACATCATATGTGTCTATTAGTTAGTCTAGGTTACTGAGTACTGGCATAATGTTACTAAAAGTATACAAAGAAATCCAAATACCTGTCCCTTTTTCTTCTTGACCTCAACACTTACGAGACCCCTTCTTTCTGATCCTTTGATGGGGAAAATGAGGAAGCACCGTTTACTGCCAAGCTTAAATTTGAAGTCCTTTAGTTTCGCGCCTCCTCCAGACATAACATATGCTCTGACATCAGTACCAGTTAGGGGCGCACCCATAACTTCAAGGATTGCAGCAGATGTATTGAGTTTTCTCATAGCCAGCCGGTAAACCTTGTCAGGGTTTATGGTTAATCTTGCCCGGGCATACATACCCTATAGAACAAAGATAGATAGTCAATAGCATCAGTTCATAAGTGCTCAATGTGAAAAGGCTGAGAGTGAACCAAAAGACTAGGCACAAGAAAACTGGCAAGAAGATATATGGTGCGGAAAGTACACTAGTTCACTGATAATTTTCAGTTAAAATGGATTCAGTACTCTGCAGTCAAGTTCACACTACTCATATATTTCATATTATGTTCTGCAGCTGAACAGATTGTAATTATTTTCACAGATTAATATGGCCTAGGCCGCAGACACCCAAAATGAGATAACACAAAGGCAAAGATCCTAATATAAGCGCACCTGATGCATGGTTTATCTGCTATTAATATGATCATCTGGCAGGGTATAGGCTCTCTATTTGTTTCCCAACATGGTAAGCTGTTGTCTGCATAACAGTTCTATTAATGTGCAAATGGTGAATTGACACCTAATACCCATAGGCCATAGCTAAGTAAGAATTATTTGGCAAATCCAAAAACAAGAAAGAATGACACGCAGTGCTTGCGACATGAGATAAGGCTAGGGGTTAGTTGTATGGTATGTAACATTCAGGCATGTTGCTTGGTCATACAGTTGGTACAATGTATTGCTTTACCAAAGATGTCAGCAATCATCAGTATAATGAAAAGAATGGTCACCAAGAGCAGTTCATAGGTCTTTTCATGAACATAGGCTCATGAGGCAAATGTAGCCTTAACAGTCTGTGTGCTCATGTGCAGGCAGCTGAACCATCAGAACAGCAGGAGTGACACAAATTTACAGTCCATCCTAATATGGTATGTAACAGCTGGCCATGTTGCTCGGCCATATGACCCAATGTATTGCTTCATGAAAGATGGCAACAACAATTCATATGATCAACAGAATGACCACAAAGTGCAGTTCAGTAATATGGTGTTTGGTTTGAGGAACAGGTTAGTCCATCATCTTCTCACTCTTCACTTTTTTGTTTGGTTTGTGGAATGGAATGGATTGATGCATCATCACCTCATTTCTCACAAGCTAAGCTAATAATAAGTACTAGTGTGAGGAATGGAGTCATTCCACCAAATTTGAGGAATAAACTAATGATGCACCACCTCATCTAGAATGATTTGATTCCTCAAACCAAACACCATATACTCGGAGTAAGTGTTTAAGTCTTATCGTGAATATAGCACATTGGGATAGCTATTAGTCTTAACAGTCGTGATATGCTAATGTGCAGTAAGCTGAACCATCAACCATCAGAACAGCAGTACTGCAGTAGTGACAGACAAACTACAAAGCGTCCTGATTATAGCCAACCAGAAACATAGCAACATGCAGAGTTCACCACAACACACTAGTATGTCCTACTAGTTAGCTAGCCCAGAGTTAAACCTAAACCGAGAAGAAGGAAATGCTACTCACGGCGAAGGCGACAATGGCGGTGGCAAGGGCGAGGAAGCCGTACTTGGCCATGCCCTCGGAGAGGCCGACGAAGGTGCTGGCGATGCCGAACATGATCCTCCAGAGCGCGACGCAGACGACGACTGCGCCCGCGCCGACGAGGACCATGTAGTTGCGCCGCCAGAAGGCCTCGACCTGCAGGCCGACGGCCGCGCGGTACCGCGCGGCGGCGCTCCTCGCCGCCTCCACGGGCCGCCCCAGCCCCTTGACCCCCTGGCCCAGCGGCGCCAGCTTCGAACCGCCGCTCGCCACCGACCTGACCCCGCCCACCAGCCGCCCGTGCCGCAGCCTCGCATCGGGGGCGGGGCGCGCGTTGGTGAAGAATCTGGAGGAGGAGAAGGTGGGGGAGTGGGCGGGGATGGGAGTGCGAGTGGGTGTGAGTGTGGGTAGGGCGCGGCGCGCGGCGGCTGCTGGTGAGGGGAAAGGGTGGAGGAGGAGGCGGCGGTGGAGGGTGTGCAGGGCGCGCCGCGAGGAGGAGAGGGCGGCCGCCATGGGATCGAATCGAGATCGGGTTCGCAGTCGCGGGCAGCCGGGGGAGAAGTCAGAGGAGGGATTGAATTGAACGGACGGCGGCTTTGGACCAGGAAGAGACTTGTGATGAATTTTCCTCTATTTTTTTGGTCGCGCTTCGATTCGGTACGGCGTTGCTTCCGAGATGCTGATGTGGTTTGCGCGAAGGAAAAACAGGAAGCAGGCTGGCGTGGGCGTGGCTGTAAAATGCGTGATCACTGTAACAAAAAAGGCTATTATGGTAGGCTGCTATTCTACCGTGATGCGATGTTGCTACGGTGCATTGTGTTTACTGTAAGCAAACCTTCTCTCCGTACCATCACGCCATCACGTCGTTGGTTTTGATCATTTTACAAAATAATAAAAAGCTATAAATGATTTTGCATTGAGAACCTTGAACTATTTTGAATTTCATTCAGACCTTATTTTCCTCTATTTATTTATCAACGTGTCAGCTGGTTACATGGGTCTGCGCTCCGAGAACTTCTTATCGGATCCGGTATTCGTAGAGGTGGCGGCACGGCACGGCCCTCTCGTGCTTCCTGCCGCTTTGATTCGTGCCGTCTAGGTACGCGAGAGACGTCGGGCCGTGCCAATACAGGTAAATTTTTCTTAGGGCCCAAGTACGGCCCCATGGCACGCCGGACGCCTGCGGGCTAGCAGGTATATATACACATGTGAGTATTTACCTTTGTTAATTTGGTTTGTCCCGTCCATTAAGTGGAGATTGTGACTATAAAAATAGAAGGAGAGAGTCACGAGAACATATAAAAAATTATATAAATGTTGAATCTAAATTTTTTTTTGTTGGTGTTCGAACACTGCTTTTTTAATAGAGAAAGAGATGAGAATTACCTGAGAGCTGGCGTTTTTTAATAGAAAAAGAGGTGAGAATTACCTGAGAGATGGTGTCGTTCCTGTTTGATTTGGCGTGAGGCGACACTTTTTTTATGTAGCCGAAGAGGTTTTTTTTTTAGACCGATCCGGATTTTTTTTGAGACCGAGCTGGCGTCGTTCCTGTTTGATCTGGCGTGAGGCGACACCGAAGAGATACATTTTTGAGACCGATCCGGATTTTTTTTTCAGACCGATCCGGCTCCATATTGCACCAGCTGTATGCATGTGGTCATGCAACAGGCCTGGGGGCGAGCGTGAGGAGAGCGCAGACGCGGGTTCCTCTCGGTTCTGTAGCCTGGTGGGGGCGGGGCGGGTGCACAAACGAACCTCCTCTAGCTTTTATTAGAGGCTTTCCCTATGTGCCGTTACGAAAATGCTCCGTTTTTACGTGTCACTACAAAATTCGCACGACGTTAAACTTTTTTTTTTTCTACACGTCATTCCGTTCGTGTCTTCTGTCAGGTTTTCACCGTTTGGCAGCCCTGACATACGGACCCGACCAGTGATAATGTCCAGAATACCCTTCTCTATACGAGTGTCTACATATAATAAATGTGGGTGTTTTCTCTCTCTTCCTTATCCTTTCCTCCATGCCTTTCTCCTTCGTTCTAAGCAAGCGTCCTGCGCGACACCCGTGGGCTGGCGGGCAAGGCGCCGATCCGGGAAGGCAAAGCGCCCATGGCGGTAAGCGGCGGCGACGGCGTCACGCGAGGTGCTCGAAAGCCCCATCCGGGCGCGAGGCACGATCGGGCGCGAATTTCCGCGCGAGGGGACGAGGCGATCAGATGATGGCAACCCCGCCCCACCCCGACATCCTGCGAGAAGAGCGGCAGCAGCCGTCCACGAGGTGCTCGGCCGAGAACACCGTGAGCGAACCGGACGAGCGGAGGATCACGGCGATGCGTGGCGGAGCTACGCCGAGCAAGCGTCCGGCGCAAAAGAACGAGGATGGGTTGCTGGGACCGGAGCGCAAAGAAGTTAAGCGTCGGGGGGGAGGACCGAGCGAGGAGCGCGACGTGCGTGGGGAGGGATTGGGAGAGAGGGGGGCATTTTGTACATTTTTTCTGGTCGGGCCCACATGTCAGGGCTAGTAAACGGTGGAAATCTAACAGAAGACGGATAGAATGACGTGGAGGACAAGAAAGTTTAGCGTCATAACACCAGAGTCCGTGTGAACTTTTTAGTGGCATGTATGAATGTAGCATCTTTCATAATGGCACATAGGGAAAAGCCTCCTTTTATTAGGCGCGCCTCCTTTTATTAGGCGCACACACGAAATTACATGCGGACGAAACCATCTCCGGCTTTTTAGGTGGTAGCACATAGTCTTGTTTAGTTCCTCCTATAAAAATTTACTCCATATCTCATTGAATGTTTGGACACATACATAGAGTATTAAATATAGACTAAAAAATAACTAATTGCACAATTTGCGACTAATTTACGAGACGAATCTTTTAAACCTAATTAGTCCATAATTTGACAACGTGGTGCTCCGGTAACACATGTACTAATGACGGATTAATTAGACTTAATAAATTTGTCTCGCGGATTACTGACGGATTTTGTAATTTATTTTTTTATTAATATCTAAACACCCTATGGGACACCTCATGGCACCTGTGACACCTTAAAATTTTACACGTGAATTTAAACAAGGTCTAAATTGTGATATCGCCACCAGCCCGGCAGCCCAGCGTAGGGTCATGTTTTCAAATTTCAATAAATTGTGGCTATCGACCACACAAAATCAATTCGCCGTACCACACATTATGTTATGCAGTTTTGGCAAAGATCAGTTAAGATAAAATTTTCTTCTAACGAGCGCACGAAAAAAAAACTCTGAAAATTAGCTAGTGTGGCGATGTGCCTGGATTTGGTTTGTACGGAGTGGTGAATATACGCTCAAAATAAATTAAAGCGTGGTCCGAATGCTTGTAAATTAAAGCGTGGTCCGAATGCTTGATACACCTACACAGCTGCCGATTGAGACAAAGATCGTAGTGCCATTTCTACATGGGCTTGGGACTTTCAGCCTTGATGGGATCAGCCAGTCCTGCATCGGCCCAAGCCCCAAGCACAAGTAAAACAGTTCTCTTGTTTCTTCTTAGTGTGAAAACGGTATGTATATTTTTCGACCGTATTCGAGACCGAATCCATTTAGAGGTGTTTATATTTGTCCGTATCCAAGTCCGGATATTCAACATCCGATACCTTATCCATATCCGAATACTCAAATCGTATTTTATGATGTCGATATCCAATCATATCCTATCCGGCATTGTTCACGTAATCCGTATTCGAATCCGAATCCGAACAAAAATATGAAAACAAATGTAATATCAGTGATATCCGTCCTTATCTAATCCATTTTCATCTAACAATGCGATGACCGCAAGTCGTCACCCTCTCCTGTCTCTTCTCCTTATTCTCCCTCTACAGTTGCCCAGGGCGAAAAGAAGGTACAGCTACAGCTTGCTTTTCCCGGCGGCGGGCGAGGCGGCGGCGGCGACGACGCAGGAGAATAACTTCTCCTGGCCTCTTCCTCGCCCTGGTGGCATTCTTCTCCAACTGTCACTGGCGAGGTCAGGGAGTGTACAGGAGTCCAAGGCCGGCGCTTCGTCGTCTCTGTCAGGTGATGAAGCTGCTAGCATTCTTCCTCAACGGTGCGGAGCAGGGTGCTGGTGTTTTGGATGATTGGTGGCTGGATCAAGCTCGTCCTTCCCTCGACGGCAGCGGTCGTCATTGGTGAGTCTAGATCCAGTAGCTGAAGAGCTTGGGGCGCGGCCCCGGTCGATGGGCGACCGTCGATGGCTTCATCTACTTCAACTCCCATCAAAGCCAGTGTGCGATGGGGCTCCTTCAGCTCAGGGTGGTGCCCGACGTCTTCGCCGAGCGACAAGGATTTCGAGCGCATCGGTTTCATGGGGGACTTAGGGGCTTTGGTGTAATTATTCTTTTCTTTAGGGTCCTTCGTGATGTTTGTCTAGGACAGCTGTCTCTGTATCATTTACGTACGTGTCTGTATTCATATGTCTATATATACGTCTTCCTTATCTAAAAATATAGATACGTATTATAAAAAAATGCGCAATGCCCACCAAACCGATACCAGTAACGAAAGCCTCTTCTATGCCCCGGCGGGAATGAATGCCTATAAGAGGATTCACAATATGGGATGCTTAGAGGGAGTGTTCAGCATATACGAATTGTTTTTTTTTACCACCGCATACTATTAGCAACTAATGCTAAGGGTGGATCTAGGACCATTTCCATTTCCACACGTAACTCTGGTCAATAGTACATGACATTAGGACGAAAAAATATAATTGCATCGTATTACCTATGTTTTTTCATAGAATGCAGCTTGATATGACACGATCTCCTAAGTTACACCTTCGTACGTAGAACTTCGAAACCGGAACCTGTATATGGTCCGGACGTCATTTTTAGTGCGGAATGCTTGTGGAGTCCGAGATAGCCCCGAACCTCATACGGATTGGCCTTCCAACTTGGATTAGATGCCCATGATGGTATTCTAACGTAGTGGTCAGGGGAAGGACATTTCCTCGAGGTGTTCTGCATATGGTTAGGGTGTGCTCCAACTTGAGCCAGAGTCCTAAGTTTGATTATCAGGCTCAAGACGACGCACAACAAATGATAGAAACAAACAACATGTTGTGATGTTTAGGAGGCCTTGCAGACCTGTTCGTTTGAACTTATCAGCCCGGTTTATCAGCCTGGTAGAGTGTTTTCTCACAACAAAAAACATCAGCCAGCTTATCAGCCACAAAACCATCAGCCGAACATGATGATATTGAAATGGGACCACATCCATTTGAAAGTTTATCAAATAAGTTTTCCATCAAGTACACATGGACCTCAATCACACTCTGAATGCATGAGTTGTGACCTTTGCAATATAATACTGTCAGGGTACCGACAAACTAAATGTTGTGATTTGATAGTTTTGCATCCCAAGATGGGTCTTAAGCATGGTGCATCCACCTCCCATGAGTTATAGAAGCAACGTAAGAAGTCTCTCCAAGGTTATAGCATCCTCAAATTGTTCTCTTAATACATTG